AAGAAGTCAGGGAAATCTGGGAAGACTTATATGAACTGATGCAGGATAAAGTAAATAGAACCATGAAAATAATCTGCATAATAACTACAATAATGTAAATAGAAATAACAACACTTCCACATCTCCCCTCTATCCCCAGTTCCTTCTTTAATTTGTAGAGGTGGGGGACTATGGTAGTGGAATGCTGTTTATATCATCGAACTTTGAGAATTAGTTGCTTGGTTTTGTAATATTTCTTATTTCTCTTTCTTTGTTATAGAGGGTAGCTTGTCAGGAAAAGGCAAAGAGTCAGAAATGAAGGTGATATAAAAACAAAAGATATTAATGTAATTTTATGAAATCTTTATAATCCTTTTTTTTTCTTGGTGAGGCAATCAGGGTTAAGTGACTTGCCCAGGGTCACACAGCTAGTAAGTGTCAAGTGTCTGAGGCCAGATTTGAACTCAGGTCCTCCTGACTCAAAGGCCAGAGCTCTATCCACTACACTACCTAGCTGCCTCCAAAATCTTTATAATTTTAAAGAGTTGCCTAGGGCCAGGGATATGCTGGAGTCAGATTGGACTGGTTTGGAAGAGTGCATTTAGGGTTCTCAGTGTAAGCATTTACACTTCGGAAATTGGTAATAAGCTACAATTCAGGGCTTGAGCTGCTGCTTGTTGATTTGCTTTGTTTCATAGACTTAAGAAAGTGATGGAGAAAATAATACTAACTCAAGTTAAACTTAATAATTTGTAGGCTTTTTTCCGTTGGGATGCTGCTTGTTAATCATTTTCTACCATATCTCTACTGAAAATTTAAGCAACTTGCTCACGTTCACACAGCCTTATGTGTCAGGGATAGGCTTGAATGCAGATTTTTCCTATTCCACAGCCAACCCTCTATCCAGTGCACCTTGCTACCTCTCAACAGAGAGCACTACCTACTCCCTTGTTGGGTTTTGGCTTGATTGTGCCTTGTGCCTCAGGCAGCTGTCAACTAGAAATATTACTCCTCTTCTCTGGCATTATTTAAGTATCCCCTTCCTGATCTTTCTCTGCCATTGACTGTCTGTAGAATGGGTGGATTGGTCTGTGGGGGGGGGATATCTGTATACACTCCAAAGAATGGCTTCCATAGACTAGTACACCCATGCTATATGCCATTGACAGAGATCCCTCATACCAGAGTCCACAGAAGAAAGTAGACATCAGAAAATAAAATCAGGGGATTTAGAGGTAGAAGAGGCCATAAAGGTAACAGAGTCTTATTTCTTCATTTTATCATTTAGCCCAGATAAGTAAGGCAACTTGTCCAATGACATACAAGGAAGTAAGTGGCAGGTCCATGAGTCAAGCTTATGTCTTATGACTCCAAATTGATTTTGATTGAACCCCAATAGAGCACAGTAGAGAGTCAGTAAGTAGGACCACGGATAGTGCCCAGAGGCTTAGATGCCCATGCTCTACATGAAACAGAGATTTGAGAACACTGGTATAGGAGCATTAGATGGCATGTCACAGTCGGTAGGTGGCACAGTGGTTAGAATATTAGACTTGGAATCAGGAAGATGTCAGTTCAAAACTGGCCTCAGATACATTAGCAAGTGACCCTAGGCAAGGCTGGGCCTCAGTTTCTTAATATATAAAATTGAGATAATAGCACCTACCCCTGAGATTTTTAGCAAGGATAAAAGGAGATAATATACCTCATTTGCAAACCTTGAAATGCTACGTAAATAATAGCCATTATTATCACTCAGAATCAACTTTTTGATAGATTTGACTCTGGTTTTGTCTAGGGCAAATTTTGGGGCATAAAATACTTTGGGCCAGATGGAGTTGACCACAAAATCACAGGATCATAGATTTATGGCTGGAGGGGACTTCAGAGGCAAACTAGTTCAACTCCTTCGTTTTACAGCTGAGGAAATTGAAGCTCAGAAAAGGTAAATGGCCTGTTCCAGATCTCACAAGCAGCCAAATATCAGAGTCACAAGATTCTTTTCTTGTTTCCTACTGGAGACTTCTCCCCTCCAGGGAAAACGCAGAATTCCTTTTTGTTCACTATCCACCCCTTGTCATCCTGATAAGATGGGACGGTTGCTGGCAGTTTTTCCCTAGAGGATCTCCTTCCCTGAAGCTCTTTTTGCTCTGCCATCAAACACAATGGCTTGGGTCTAAGCCAGAGATCAAAGAGTCCGTGCTAATGGTATTGATCATCTTGCTGAACAGTCCACATATAAAACTCTTTGTCAGTAAAAGCTGAAGAAACTGTGATAATCTGCTATACCTTGTCTGAAACACAAATTCCTAGCCGCAAGTGAGTCATCTAGCACAAAGCAAATGCGAGGGAGTGCCATAATGCGAGAGATAGAGGATCAGTCTTAGTGGAGCTTCAGATAAGACCTGAGTTCAAATCCTGACTCAGATATGCACCAGCTGTGTGACCATTGACAGATTGCTAAACTTTTCTCGGCTTCAGTTCCACTACCTCCATCAGTCTCATTTGTCCCATCTATAAAATGGGGATGATAATAGCACCTACCTCAATAGGGTCATTGTAGGGATCAAAGGAATTATATAAAGCAATAAAGGTTAGCAATTACTGTGTTCCACAGTGCTTCTGGTTAGGAATCCTTGTAAGACAGTATGTCCTAGCAGAAAGGGTTAGACTTGGAATCTAGTCTAATTTCTGCCCTGAATGAACTGTATGACCTTAGGTAAATCATTTGCCATCTCTGTGCTTCAGCTTTCTCATCTACAAAATGTGGGGGCTAGTCTAGAATTCAGAATTCACTTTTTTTTGTCCTTGACTCTTTTGATAATCTGGTGAAGCCTATGGATCTTTTCTAAGAATAATGTTTTTAAATGCATAAATAACATGTAGGCTTACAAAAGAAACCAGAGGTTAGTGAAAATAAAGATGCTGCTTTTCCCCATCCGAGTTCACAGACCTTGTGAAATCTATCCATCCATGGACCCCAGGTTAAGAACCCTTAGTCTAATGGTGCTTAGGATCCTTTCCAGCCCCAGTATTCTAATTCTTTTTATTCCCTTAGGAATTCAACTGCTTTTTCTCCCTATTCCTTCTTTCTCCAGTGTGTTCTTCTATGGAATCCTTGAATTTTGAGGCTGGAAATATCTTCTGTGGGCTATCTAATCCATCCTCTAGACAGATGATAATTTTCAAAGCCCACCAGAGGAATAATTTCCATATCCCCTTAAAGAATCCACTCCAATATTAAGAAACTCAGTTTGAATCCTGCCTCACACACTTACCGTCTGTGTGACATTAGGCAAGTCACTTAGCCTCACTTCGCTCCTCGCACTTGCCTCACAAGGCTGTCACGAGGACCAGATGAAATAGTGGCTATGAAGGACTTTGTAAACTTAAAGTGCTACATGAATGTTAGCTATTAATTTTCATTATAATTACATGAGAGCCAATTTTCATTTTTACATGTTAATAAAAGGAAAAGAGTCTCAGATAACATGTGCCTGCTTCCTTTCCCTCCTTCTGCTCATATGTGGACGACCTTGGAAATAGCTCTCTGCTGCTTGGCTGAGAAACAGTTCATCCCCAGGTAGTAAGCACAAGAGAATGCTTGTTTCATTTATTTAACTAACCATGCATTTCCACAGAGTACTGTGGTTTGACAGAGGCCATCAAGAATTTGGTAAATGTTTTGTGAGGTACTTACTGACAAAGCTCTTTGCAGGGAAAACCCAGAATGAATAAAAGGGTCTCAGTCTCTTTTCCTTGCAAAAAAGGTCCAAGCTTTCTTCCTCTGCAGTCAGATGTATTCTAGAATCACATGGCTCACTCGCGACCCTAGGCTCTGATTCACAGGTCACTGGCAGGGGGCTAACTAAGACTGAAAGAAGACCAGTACCATGATTTGGGTATGATTCCTTCGGATATGATAAATGTGTACTACCAACCATTATACTTTTAACATTTTTGTTCAAGCTTGTGATTTCTTTGGTGTCTAAGGCTCCCCATTAAAGAACCTTCTTCCACAAATAATGAACTAACCACAATTGCTCTACCACTTCAGTCTTAAAACTTCTTGGGGGACTTTAGAAGGTTAAATGACTTGCCCAGCATCACAAAGACAGTATGGATTTGAGGGAGGACTTAAACCCATCCTGACTTTGTGTGCAGTTCACTAGCTGCTTTCTACATTGCTCTTCATAGACTAATATGACCTGCAATTTCTAGGGTTAATTGATAGGCAGAAAGCCCACTAAAACAAACTCCAAATATTTCTGCATTGTTTTGTTCTAAAGGGATTTTGCTTTAGTGAATACATTACTGGAAATTCCATTCCCAGTCTACAAGAATTTGAGATAAGAGCTAATACTCTAGCTAATTAGCAAATGAAAAGAAGTTTAAATCTATTCTGAGAAAGAGAAATCCTGTTGTGGAACTGGATTGGACTGGATACACAAATCAGCCCCACCCATGTCTTCCATGTTTCTGGACATTTACATCTATCTATATGCCACTATTTATTTTAGTGGACCATTTGGGAGCTTAAGTGGATTTATAAAATGAGGGTCACTGTGAGAGGAACAGGTAAGTTGATTTAAAGGATCAAGAGACAGTTTTCATATGTTTGAACTGGAGGGGGTACCTTACTACCTTCTTGCTGACAGTGCAAATCACACACACTGTGGGCCCTTGGTCATTCAGAGAGACTATTACATAGACTGGGATTAGAGAGTGAATTATTGTATAGGATTGCTCCCTGTACAGAATTTGTGGCACTCATATCAGCAGGACACTTATCATGCTGAGATATGGAGCAGTAGATTGTATGGAGATCTCTGTCTGAATAAAATTGTACTAATGTATCCAGAATCTTGAATGTGTAGGACTCCAACCAGTCCCTATCCCAGAAGGACAAAGATCTAGCAGTTCCACTCCAATGTATATGCTTTTTCACCTTTCCCTCCCCCCAATGCATCTAGCTTTCATTTCCCAAGCAGGCCGACTCACTGGTTCCAGGAAAAGGATACTCCCTTCTTTGCTTTTCTCCTGAACATTCTCCATTCCAGGGAGAGCTGAAGCAACACGCCGGAATAGCTGGGAATTGGGGGTAGGGGTGGAGGAAGAAACACAACATGAAAGGCATCAGAATGAGTGCTGTCTTTTCCACCCTCCCTCCCTCCCCCTGCCTTCCTCATGGTGTTTTCCATCCACCTTCTGGGAGCTGTAGCCTTTCACAGCAATGCGCGAGATCGGTAGCCAGGGACAACGAAAGGCTCATCATGGAAATGGGAAACTTGAGAATAAAGAGGGATGTGGTTGCTGAGGTCCATACAAGGGCTTACTCTGTAGTTAGGAAAAAGAATTTTGGCAAGGCACTATTAGCCAGCCAGGCTCCTTCTCAAAGAGACTGTAAGTCCTAGGAACAGGGAGCTGAGATTCTGTCTTATGCACTAAGGTACTAAATTTGAGCCAGTTGCATTGTTATCACAAAGGCCCAGTGGTGTCTGGGAATATGCATAAACCATATTATCATGTAATCACAGAATGATAGTTGAGTTTGTGTGTGTGTGTGTGTGTGTGTGTGTGTGTGTGTGTGTGTACATGTGCAGGTATGTGTGCAAAGAAGTCTGTCAGGAAGGGCAGGCAGGAGTCCTAGTAGATACCAGAAACATCTTTACTTACCTGATAATTTAAAACAATAATGACAACCAGGAGGTGTTGATACTCATATGATAATACAAAAGCTTCCTGATTCTCTTCCTGGGGCTTTGTGGACTCTAATATTGTAGGATTTTGAAAGGCTATGGTACAGTTAATAGACAGCTAGCCTTGGAGTCTGAAAGATTGTAGTCCAAATCCTGCCTGTGACACATACTACCTGTGGGTCTGTGGCCAAATCACTAACCTTATTCAATGCCTCCAGCCAATTCTTGAAGGTTGAAATTATAGGTCAGTTGCTGATCTGCCCTGGTGAAGGAATTTTCTGCCTTAGGAGTTCCTTACCCTGATGGAATCCTAGCTTTGGATTTTCCCCAAATCAGAGGATTCAGAGCTGGGAAAGAACCTGAAGCTGGTATTCATATCCAACTCCTCTGACTTAAGATTCAATCCTCATTAAAAAGAAAAAAAAACACTAGGCTGTCTTACTAGATTAGATCATGGGAATGAGCCCTGAGGTAGGAGCCAGAAGCCCTGCTTCCAGTACTGGCTTCACTTCTTACTACCTTCACTGGGTCACTAATATGTCTCAGAGCTTTGATGTCCTTGGCTGTCAAAAGGACATAGTAATACATTAACCTACCACACAGGGAATTTCTAAGTATCGGATGAGATCATGGGATCATAGATTTAGAGTTGGAAGGGATCTTAGAGGCCATCTGGTCCAAGCCCCTCATTTTACAGATGAAGCAACAGAGCCCATGAGAGTTTAAGTGACTGGCTCCAAGTCACAGAGACAACAACAAAAACAAACAAAAAACCCCCCAAAAAACAACAGAATTTGAACCCAGCCCTCTAAACTCCAAATTTGGCACTCATCATTGAACCATGCTGCCACTTCTATAACTTTAGTGATGAATTAAGGGGGAAAGTAAAATAAAACAAAATAAAATATAGAAGCCTCTTTGGGGGGGGCAGACAATTTTTCATTTCATTTTCCTCTCCCTGGTCCCTAGGATTGAGCCTTGTACGTAATAGGCACTTAATGACTAAATCCTTATTGAATTGAATTAAGGAGACCAGTCTAGATGTTCTCTAAGCTTCCTTCTACCTCTAATGAACTAATGGGACTCGGTCTAGTTTTTGATGAATTTTTGCTTCCTAGCAAAGTCCCAAGATGTGGAGGTTCATCTCTCTGGAACTTCCTTGAGAAGCTGTTTTTTCTTTGAACATAACGGACGGTCTGCCCTAGAGAGGTGCACCTGACCTCTAGTCTAAGTTTTCTTGGATTCATTTGTTTTTTTTCCTAGTGAAGAAAACAGCCTTTTTCTCAGTTCTTTGTCATTTGCTCATGTAAATAGTAATTCGTTAGCAACTGCTCACACTTCCCTTTTTATAATGTTGCTGTTGCATATGGTAAACAATCCTCACTTTACTTGTTTGGTCTGATAGTTGTATGAGATAGAGTAAAAATTTAATTGTTAGAGATTAATAGACTAGATTCAGAGAGCTGGGAGGGAGTTTGGAGGTCCTCTAGTCCAAAGCTTCATCAAACTGACAAAGGGCACCATGAAACTAAAAAAGGTTTAAGAACGCCTGGACTCTCAGGATGTTTTTAAATGCTTTAGATAAAATACAGAAGATTACAAAGGAAACCAACCATATTGAAATATAGTTATCAAAAGCATCTTTTAAAAACAAACCAAGTTCTCAGAACCAAAATTAAGAATCCTTACTCTAGTCCAATTCCCCTCCCCCTAGCCTCTTCCCTTACTTTACAGATAAGAACACTGCTGTGCATTTTTGAGAAACAAATGTAGTTAGGAACCAGTATTTTTATTTTGAATAGTTATTATGCCAAGGTTCAGCTTCTGTGTTTAAGAGGACTCTTCTGTATGTTTTAGGAGCTGATATTTTAAATGGAATTTTTCCATTTAAGAAAATGGAGTGATTCTGTATCTTGACATGATTTATTGTTTCAAGGAGAAGAAGATACTGTTGTAAACTAATGGAAATTATTGACTCCGGGCATACTGCTAAATTATTTGCATAACAGCCAGCACAGAGATGCACAAGTTTTATATTAGCACCCATTCTCCTCCCTGCTCCCACTATCATCATTGAACAAAATGAAATGTAATAGAGATAAGTGTAAAGTCTTACAATTGGGTTCAAAAAGTAAACTTTGCAAGCACAAGATGGGGGAAGCCTAGCTAGAAAACAGCTTGTTTGAAAAAGATCTGGGGGGGTTTAAAGGATTATAAGCTCAATATGAGATTCAGTGGGGTGTTATAGAGATCACCCTTCCAAAAAAAATTATTTTAGGCCTCATTTAGAAAGGCATAGCTTCTAGGAATAAGTAGGTAATAGCCATCTTGTACTTAGCCAGCCTGCATCTGGTATATTGATTGTCTAGTTCTGGGCACAACATTTTAGGAAAGACACTGCTAAGTTGAAGAGTGCCCAGAGAAGGGCAACCAAGATGGTAGAGGCTCTTGAGATCATGTCATAAGAGGACTAGTAGGGGCAGCTAGGTGGTGCAGTGGATAGAGCGCCGGCCCTGGAGTCAGGAGAACCTGAGTTCAATCTGGCCTCAGACCAGATATTTGACACTATCTGTGTGATCCTGGGCAAGTCACTTAACCCCATTGCCTAGCCAAAAAAAAAAAAAAGAGGACTGGTTCAGGGAAGTGGTCCTATTTAGTGTGGAGGAAGAAAGACTTAGGGAGATATGATTAGCTGTCTTTGTGTGAAGACTTAACAAGATTATTTTGAGTCTCCTTAATAAATCAAAAGAGAATCCTCTATATTGGTTTCTCTCCTACCTGTAGTATTAAAATGCCTTCTTAAAACTCAAGTGCTCAATGTGAATACCTATTGTGAAATGCCTTGTAGACATCTATGTAAATGAGCTGTAAACCAATGCCGATTACACAAAAAACTCCTGAAAATGAAGGATTTTATCATCCATTACCAGAGTGGAAACAGCATGGAAGAGTGGAAGATTAACTAGAACATGTCAGAACAATCAGGTTCAAATCCTGGCTCTGCCACTTACTCCCTGTGTGCCCTTGAACAACAAGTGAATGATGTCTCCAGCTCTGTTTGTTTTCTCTGGAAGATGAGGGGTTGGCACTTACTAGCTGTGTGACCCTGGGCAAGTCACTTAATCCTAATTGCCTCCCCCCCAAAAAAAGATGAGGAGTTGGACTTGATGATCTCTAAGGTTCATTCAGCTCTAATATTCTGTGATTTTGCTATAGTGGTAGTGATTTTGTGAATTTGTAATTCTATGATTCTATGATATTGCTATAGTGGTAGCAGTGTAGTGTGGTGGGAAGGGATTTGGATTTGGAGCTCTGAGGCCTGACTTCAAATCTGAGCTCTGCTTTTTATTCTGGGCTGGACTAGGTGACCTCTAAGGTCCCTTCCAGCTCTGTATCTGTGATTTGATGAATCAAAAGGGAGCTGAGTCTGGCTGCATTAATAGGAAGACCAGTTTTAATAGGTGTACTGTGAAACAGGATATAGTAAGGGCAAAGTGAGTGTTTGGACCATCTAGTGACAAAGAAAGTACCTTCCGTTTTTTCCCTAATGCATTGATTTAAACCTCTTTTGAGCAGTTGAAGGAGTTCTGAACACTCAGTGAATGATCTTAGAGTGCAGTTGCAATGAGCAACTTCATCTAATGGGCTTAAGGCTGTTTGTTGAAGATGGGCCCTAAGTGCTATCTAAGAATTGGATGCTGTCTTCTGGAAAATCATCCTGGAAGCTCAGAGTTAGCAGATAGTCCAACTAGGGGTCATTTAACCCAACCCATACCCAAGCAGAAAACTCTTTGACAACAAAAAAATCCAGGGCCACTGAATCTCTAGAATCTTATCCCCCACTCCCTCAATATCTCAACAGTACTTCTAGACAGAGGTCTCAGAGCCTTGGACCCTGAACAATGGTCCCACTCCCATGATTCTGTACCATATTTGCTTAAATCACAAAATTTTAAATTCAACTTGAATGCAAATGTCCCTTGTTTCAATAGCATGATTCCTTTCCTCTTTCTAACAATTGGCCTTGGGGGCATTGTGTACACAAAAAGAAGGTGAAAACCTACCCTGCACAGTGACTGGGGAGTCACACTCAAAAAAGGCTGCATTATTGGGCATGAGATTTGCCCATAGTCACAAACATTATAGGCTATGGAGTTGGAAGGGTCCTCAGAGATTATCTAGTTAAATTCCTTAGACTTTATAATATTCCCAGTAAAAAGTCCTTCAAACACCATCGATGATAGTATAACTTAATTTCATTTTTTGGCTCCTAAGCTTTCAGCCCAAGAATTCAAGCTCTTCATTGGGGAGAGGTTGCAGAGAAATTTGACACCACCTGGAACACCTAGCAGCTCTTGGCAGTACTGTTCTAAATATAATTCCCTTTACTTTCCCCACCCTATACCACTCTAATACCCACCTCCACACCTTTGTTTAGGGGATTCCTCTAGCCTGGAATACCTTTTCCTATTCACTTCTCATCCAAATCCTACCAAACATTTTTTAAGGTTTAAGTAAACTTCCATCCCTTCATGAAGGACCCTCTTCTCCCCTAACTGCTTTTAGGCCACAGTGATTCTTATCTTCTTTGAACCCTTTCCCATGGAATTTAGAGTTTGCACTGCTCATTCAGGTATGTAATTATATAATGTTTTGCATTATTTTCTATCTAATGTGTACATATTTCCCCCATTCTTTTAGCTTGGCACAATAGACAGAGTGCTAAGACATGAATTCAAATGTCACTTCTGATACTAACTAGTCATGTGAACCTGAATGAATCATCTAACTTCTATGTGCCTCAAGAAAATCTGCTAAGTCATAAATGGATTTTAATCTGTGCTGGTGAAATATGTTGCCAATTTGCAAGTTTCCTATGCTGATGAAATCATAGCTCCTTTATGTCTCTCCAAACAGCTCCTCAATAGCAAGGAATGTAGCTCATATTTCTTTGTTCCTACTCAAAGAACAGCAGCACTGAGTACATAGGAGATACTTGAATTGATTAGAATTGACTGATTTCTTCTTCCTACATGAGGAAAAGACATTAGAAAATTCTATCTTTCTCAGAGCAAACAAAAATCACTAGGCTAACACCCTTTAAGAGTAAACTCTGTCAACAGGATCATCTTCAAGCACAAAGGACAAGTGGATAGGATGGAGTAGGTGGTGATATGCCACTACAATAGGGAGATGTTATGTGTATATGGATGTTATGGCTGGTGTCTGACATTAGCCTGAGGGACTGTCTCATGAGACTTACACCTTCTATCCTGTGATTGTCTTTTCTTTGATCAAGCTTGTAAGTTGGATTCACACCTTAGGTGAGTATTTTAGTTTATTTCCAGCATTTGACAGCTCTTCTGGATAATGTATGACATTAGCTTTATAAACCTTAAATGAGTTGTATATATGCTTTAAGTGGATCAGAAGCCATAGATCTCTTACCTGCTTTACATTGTATCCTGTCTTGGCACTGGTTTCAATGAACATGACACTCAGTTCTTTGGCGCGCTGTTCTCCTTCTTCAATTGTTATCTGCCTACAGACACCACAGAGAAGGGGCAATCACAAGTGGCCCACCACAGTTCCATGTACGGGGGGAAGAATTTAATGTCCCACAATGGCTGTGGCAGGACAGCATTGGAGTGGGAAGTAGCAAAATGGGCAGAGCAGACTGTATACTGATCAGGGTTCTTTTACTAAACCAATGGACACTGTCAGCACCTTGGACAGCCATCCCAATATTGTGGGGCGTCTGTTTTATAATGCCATAATGTGCTGCTCCATGAATCTGGGATATGATGGACGTTTTCCATTTAAAAATTCACAGCACATTTCACAACTTGCCAGGTGAAGGATGGGTGGGACTGTGATTTTGGGTGTTGGAGTTGATTAAATTTAATTTAGCTTGACTGACAAAATTTGAAGATTTTTTGAGGGGGATCTCTGTGCACATTGGGCAAATTTAATTAAATTGTATGCAAATTAGCACTCCACATTGGAGTGAGATCTAGCACTTTTTCTTTTCTTTCTTTTTTTTTTTAGAATGCCTGTGGTGATATTGAGCTTTGCCCAGGAGAACCAATCCACTGCCTGTTATAGTTCCTTCTCTGCTACTACAACATCCTTATTTTCTGACTTTTGAACATAGCTGCTGCCTTTATGAAGCCCTAAGGAAATGCACACTTGTGACCTCCTGTCAGAGAATATAGAAACCCCACAGTTTAATACCACACACAGTTCTCCCCTGGTTTGTGACACACAATCCCATACTCACACTTGAGTAAGCATTGGTAATGAACATGTCAATTCTGCCTTGAACTAAAGTAAAGATATCCCATGAAAACCCCTAAGTTGGGGTAGGTTGGATAAGGACTGCATTTTTGTATTTTGTAGAGTTAGAAACTGTTTTTCCTTTTGAATGCCTGTCACAGGCAGAGACATCAAATGGGTCCAGAAACAAGGCTAGTCAGAAGTTGGAGAAGCTCAATTAGAAACTTTGGCAGGGGGAGGGGAGAGAGACCTAGATTAGCCAACCTGACAACAGAGGAGCTAAGGACACAAGCTTTGGCTTTTACAGACTAAAGTTACTATTAGACTGTAAACTCCATGAGGGCTAGAATGTCTCTCATCTACATTTTATATCTCCTTTGGTGTCCAACATAGTGCTCTGCAAATGGCGGAGCTGAATAAATAGCCGTTGAATGAATGAATTAAATGAATGAAATCCAGTATTTGGAGAATTAAACATACATATATACAGAGCATCACAGAACTCCTGTATTTCCAGGAGTAAAAGTAAAATGAGGCTTAAGGCACGTATGAGCTTGAGTGACTCATATCTGAGAAGAGTTGATATACAATAGCCAGGCACAGGTCAACCCACATGTGGGGAAAAGTGGGCAGGAATATGCCAAGTGTATGGAGTGCTAGCAGCTACTGACACCCCAGTAAAAGTCTGAAAATATCCAAAGCAGCTGCAGTAAAGAGAGACACTCTAACTGCTTAGAGCTATAGGAACTCCCAATGCAGCAGTGTCCAGCCTTGACCCAGAAGAGAAACTGCCCACAGCAGATCTTTTTTTCCATCCACTTAGTCATGTGTAGGCATCAGAACCATTGATTCTCTGATTCATTGTAGGTGTGATTCATGAGCTTTCAAGTTTAGTTTAATTTTCTCCACCTTCTGGAGCTTCTCCCTCCCTCTCTTACCTCTTATCTGCCAGGTCTGTTTTGTTGCCCACCAGCATGATGATGACATCACTTCCTCTTTCTGTCCTGACATCATCAATCCACTTGGAGGTCTGTTGGAAGGAGTTGAGATCTGAGGGTGGAAAACAGAAATAGAACTGGAGATAAGTACAAAAGAGAGAAAGGAGGGAGTATGACTAAGGGAAGGAAAAAGAGAACAGCAGAAAAGAGACAGAAACAGAGAGATGGTACACTTCTTGGTAGAAGATGAAATACTTGAGGTATGAAGATATTCCAGTAATAGAAGAAAAGAGATGTCCTTTTTCAGCATGAAAGGAGAAAGGGAAAAGAGAGAGCAGTATTACAGCATACCATTAACTGTGTACTAATAGTACATCTTAAAACCATCCTGAGGACTAAACCTAGTTTACAATGCGGTGATAATAATGAAGTTATAATGTGGCAATAAGATGAATTTACCATCCCACCAACATGAATAAATTTAAATCTCTTTCAGGGACATTTGGGGGACATTTCTCAGAAATGCTAGTGAATAATTTCACTTTGTCAGGAATGATTAATTTTCTCTGGAAGTTATTTTTATTTAACGTTGGCTAGTGAATCACTCTCTCTTTGCTTTTATAGACAAGTGATTTCATGGATCCGGATGTGACAACTCATATGATGACTGGGAATATTAGCTGTTTTAGTCAGTCCCATATTGTGGGTCTTACTTTATTTCTCTGCAAGCCCAAATTTACCAAGAGCCCTATTTCTTTGTTTTCTGTGTCTATGGTCTTCTGTGTTCATGAATGACTGACAGAGATAGCCACTCATTGGAGGGGTGTGTGTGTGTGTGTGTGTGTGTGTGTGTGTGTAGGCCTACAGGTAGAGACAGGGACTAAAAGATGGTGCCTGGAGGACAACTCAGCTGAAAAGTTTGAGCAAAGGGAAGCCAGGGCACAGTAAACAAAGCTACAATGCTGACAGAGAGTTGTGGTGTAGTTGATCCTGTCATGGATATGGTTTGACTTTCTGCCTCAGGTCTCTCCCCACTCCTATCCATCTTCCTCACAGCCACCAAAGAGATTTTTCCCAAAGCATAGGTCTGACTATGTCACCTCTCTATTCAGTAAATTATAATGGTTTCCTATTATCTATAGGATCTCATGTATGTTTGGTATTTAAAGCTCTTCACAATTTGGTCCTCCCTTCCTGTCTTTGCAGTCTTAAAGGGCATTACTCTCCTCTGTCCACTTTATCATCTAGCCATACAAGTCTATTTGCTGTTCCTCATGTTACTCTAAGTCCCATCTCTGGGCCTTTGTACTGACAATCACCTGTGCCTGGAATGCCCTTCCTCGTTATCTCCACCTCATTGACTTCCTTTAAAACTCAACTCAGGTGTCTTCTGTTGCAAGAAGGCTTTTCCTGGTCCTTATGAGCTGCTAGTGCCTTCCCTTCTCAGACTTTCCATATGTATCTTCTACATCAATTTATGTATATGGTGTCTTCCCCATTTGAGCTTAAAAGCTCCGTAGGGGCAGGAACTGTTTTTATTTTTTCTTTATATTCTCAGGCTTAGCACAGTACCCAGCACACAGTAAGCACTTAATAAATGCTTGTGGATTGACTGATTGAATGTTTCAAAAAATGAACTTCCTTCCATTTCCTTGGAATGGACTTTGGCAGCTGCTTCCTCTGCACCAGTACCGATGGGTACCATTGTTCTAATCTCTTATATATATGTTCTAGCCTGTGATTTTCCAGCCTTGACCTGAGTGCTGGCTTTCTTTGCTGTGCATTGTGTATTTTGGTTGCAGAGCAGCTACAGCCAGGAGAGGCCAGCTCTGTGTGCAGAAATGAAGCCTTTTCTTCTCCACACCCTCTTTTTCTCCTTACTTCATTTCTTTCCAGATTAACCTCAAGGAGGAGTCTTAATTCAGTGCAAAATAAAGCACCTGCCAACACTCAGCATCTCTATCATCTTCACAAACACCTGTAAAATTACCTATAACCATGTTTAATATAATGAGTCTTGGTAATCTTTTAGGGCAATGGAAAATTCCTCATGGAATTAGGATGAAAAAAAAATGAAAATAATGAATCTCTCTAGAGTCTACCTAGGAGTTCTTAACCATTTTTGAGTCACAGACCTGGTAGGCTGGTGAAGCCTATGGACCCCTTCTCACAATAATATTTTTAAGTGCATGAAATAAAGTACATAGAATTACAAAGGAAACCAATTCTATTTAAATACAGTTATCAATTAAGGAAAAAAAAACAGTTCATGGACCTCAGGTTAAGAATGCAAACTAAATACACATATCCATGTTCATACTCTGAGCACCAAAATATTTCTGAGAAATTACAGCCTTTTTTTCCCCTCTACATCCTCCCTCCCCCACTCCCCTCCCCCCACCCCATGAATCACAAGCAATAGGTAACCTGGGCAGATGTAGGTAATAAATTGCAGTGTGTGCTTGGTGTTTAAAGGAAGTCTCTAGACTCCTGCTGCTCAGCAAATGTACCAGGTGTTGCTGAGTGATCCCTAACACCACCTTCTGCCAGGGTCTCATTCCTTGCAGAAACACAACCATGCAATGCCATAATGACTACATAAAAGCCATTGCCACACCTAGATGTAAGGATCAGAAGATTCAAATTTTCTCTTTCAACTCTGCAGCTGGGGCATTTGTGCTGGGCCACCATTTTGCCTGAAACACAGGCATGGTATCTGCTTGGTAAAACCAGCCATGCTGTACTCACTTGTGATGTCATACACCACCACTGCCACAGTAGAGTCCCGGATGTAACTGGGGATTAGGCTGCGGAATCTCTCCTGTCCAGCGGTGTCCCAAAGTTGCAATCGGACCTGCAAAGGGGACAAAGAGAAAAAGGGAGGAAAGGAAAGAAGGAAAGGAAGCAGAGATAGAGGTATTAATTCTTTGTATCCCCAGTGCCTAGCCCACAGTAGCCTAGCACACAGAATGGGGCTCAAGAAATTCCTATTGACTGATTACTGTAAAGGGATTGCATAAAGCAAGGCTGGCCCAGAAAGGGAACTATCAAAGGTATTATCACTTGAGGTTTTATGCTTTTGTAGTGGGGAGAAAGAGGAAGGAACACCATCATTTTATCTTCCCAACCACTGGTACTGCTGCTGTCATAATAGCTAATATCTATATAAGACCTTAAAGTTTGCAAAGTACTTTACAAATACTTTCTCATTTGATCCTAATGATCTTTTAAGATAGGTGATATTATACTCATTTTATAGATGAGTAAGCTGAGTTTAAAAAGTTAAGTGACTTGCCTGGGTCCACTCGGCCAGTAAGTAAATGTCTGAGACAGGGTTTGAACTCAGGTCTCCCCTGATTCCAAATCCCACTATGCCCCTTCACTGAGGGCAGCAAAAGAAGCCCAGTGCATCAGTTTTTCTAACGCTGCTTTGTCTTAGAAATCAGTGTGATCAGGTAGGTTCTCATGTACCTGGACATAGACTCCTTTTCCCTAGACTTTGCCTTGTTAGGTTGAAGTTATCCTAGTTCTCAAATCTGGCACTTACCGTACGATCCTCCAAATACATAGTTTTTGATAAGAAGTCAATCCCAATGGTTGCCTGTAATAAAGGAAAGAAAGGTATAAGGTGAGAAAGATCAAAAGTTTTAAAGACCATGGAGAACTAAAATATTGGGCAAAAGGTTTAGTAACCCTAAATGTGTTTAAGAAGAGGAAGAAGAAAAACAGACAGCAGTCTGGGTCCCTCCTTTGGGCCATCTGACTTTTAGGGAATCTTATACCATTCCTTAATATTAATTAAAATTTTTTTTTAACTAACAATCATTTGTTTTCTCTTTGTTTCCTCACAACCCCTATCCTACTCCTAGGGAGGAAAAAAATCTCTTGTAACAAATGGGCATAGTAAAGCAAAAGAAATTCTTACATTGGCCATGTCCATGCCTCATTCTGCATCTTGAGTCTCTCACTTCTCTGACAGGAGGGAGGTAGCTTTTTTTTTTTAATCATTGATCCTCTGAAATCATAGTTGGACACTGCAATGATCAGAGTTCCTAAGCCTTTCAAAGGTTGTTTGTCTTTATTAGATTGTTGTCATTGTAAAAATTGTTCTCTTGGTTCTGCCTACTTCATTCTGCATCTGTTTTCCCAGGTTTCTTCATCATTTCTTGTACCACAATAATATTACATTACATTCAAATACCAAAATGTGTTCAGCCATGCCTTAATTGATGGGCACCCCCTTAGTTTCTGGTTAATTTCCACTACAAAAATAAAAGCTGCTAAAAACATATTTGTACACGTGAGTCCTTTTCCTATTTATTTGATCTTTTTAGGAAATATAGGCCTACTAATGATATCACTAGGTCAAAGAATAGCATCTTTCCTATTACCTTGATAAATTCTCTTCTTAATGAACTTGAATTTATTCTTCCCATCCCCAATAGAACAATAATAATAGCATTATCAGCATCAACTAAAATGTCTTAGTTGTTCACTGAGTACAGACTCTGGACTGGGCAGTGTAATACAGTAGAAAGAACTTGGAGTTAGAAGACCTGGGCTTTTCATCTTGGATCTGCCATTTATTAACCATGTCAATAGGTCCCTAAAATTCCCCAAGCCTCAAGTTTCTCATCTGTAAAATGGGACTAATAACAACACACACACACACACGCACACACACACATGCACACACACACGTATGCATGTAGGGTTGCTATAAAGAAAGTATCTTTTAAAAACTGTAAAGCATTACATAAATGAGTTAATATTCCTACTTTCAAAACACAGGTACACACCCATTATATTCTAGGTTCAAAGGCCCCGACTTACAATGACATGAATTTATCCTACTCTGATACTACCTTTAAAAAGATGGAACCAGTGACCTTCATGACCAATGAAGGAGACTCTCTTTCAATCTCTTCCTCTATCCTCTTCCTTCACTGGGACCCTGGGCAGGGAAGGGGGTATTGATCTCTCAGCCACTCCCTCCCAGTTTCCACTATTTTCACATTTTCATCTCAAACCTGATTGACTTCTTGTTGCTGTCAATGGTAAAGGCCCAGTCTCACCTCCAGCAGGGGGCATGTGACATCTTCTCATGCCCATGGAACACATCCTACCATTCTTTTTCCTTTTCTTGGACTGATCTGAATTCCTACATTCATCCAACCACAGGAACATATGTGTAAAGCCATTTTTTTAAAAGAAATTTTATTCATGTGATGAATTGGGATACACTAACATAAGGGGTCAGAAAACAATGACTCCACACAGAGATGGTTTTATCTTCATTATGAAACATGGATTATGAAGGTGTCAGCAATTAATCACTTAGCTAATAGTGTAATACGATGGAAGGAACGTTAGCTCTAGGGTCAAAGGACTTAGGATCAATCTCTACCAATGACAATAACTGTCCACCCATGATATTACAAGGTTACCTCTGTGACTTCAGAAAGGTCACTAAGATTTCCTGGGCCTCAGTTTCCCCAAGACTGGCTGGCCTCTGAGATCCCTTCCAGTTCTAGATTTGTTTGTGGTCCTTCATGGGTGGAAACCAAAGCTTAACCAAGTGGGATGGTGACTTCTAATTGGCTCAAGGGTAGATGGGGAGGGAATAAGGGTTCATATAATATTTACTATGTGCAGAATTGTAGTAGGTCAAAAGAAATGTGAGATGTGCAAATTTAGAGATGTCTCCGCTTCAAATGTTCTTATGGACTATTTGTACCCAACCTGTGGTAGAGTCTTCCGAGCTCATATTGGTCTGATCAGCCACAGTCAGACAGACACACTGTACCTTGACCCCAACATAGTGATGTCATTTTGATTCTCTTTGAAAACAAAGGACAATAAAACCAACCACTATGTGCGAGGCACTGTGCTAAGCGCTCTACAAAATATCTCGTTTTATCCTCACAATAACTATGAGAGATGAGTGCTATCATTACCCTCATTTTACAGATGAGTAAACTGAGGCAAACAGCAGCTAAGTGACTTGCCCAGGGTCACACAACTAGTAAGTGTCTGAGGATGGATTTAAACTCAGGTCTTCCTAACTCCAGGCCCAGAACTCTAGCCACTGTACCACCTTTGCTGATTCAAGTTTGGCAACTGTGTTTAATCAAACCGTTGAGCCCCACCTAAGATGCTAGAAAAGTGGACCCAAAATCCCCAAACTGGGGATTTCTGAGAAAGCCAAGACCTTTTTTGGGTTCAAGCCAGGAATGGATCTGGCACCTCAGGGTCACTCCCTTGCTCTGGGGTCTCATGGAAAAAGCCAAAGGCAGGATCAGCAAGAAGATCTGGCAGCTAAATTGATCTGTGTGTTAGCAAGCTGTGAGCTCTGACTTCTATTACACATTTTTGATTAATTATCCTTTTATGCAATTTACTCTCTTCCCTTGTAAATAAATAGATAAATAATAGCTAGCTTTATATAGTGCTTTAAGGTTTGCAAAGCACTTTACAAATATTTGCTCCTCTCGACAATTCTGGGAGGTAGGTGCTATTATTTGGGAGACTAAAGGCATAAACGGACTTAAAAGCGTGTCTGGGGCAAGAAGAGAGTTTTTGCTGTTAGTATTGTTGTTCAGTTATGTCTGAATCTTCGTGACCCCATTTGGGGTTTTCTTGGCAAAGGTACTGGAATGGTTTGCCATTTCCTTCTCCAGCTCATTTTACAGATGAGGAAACTGAGGCAAACAGGGTTAAGTGACTTGTTCAGGGTCACACAGCTAGTAAGTGTCTGAGACCAAATTTGAACTCAGGTCTTCCTGACTCCAGGATTGGCACTCTAACCATTGTGCCACCTAGCTGCCCCATAAGAAAGAGTAGTAGTTAGTTAAGTGACAGAAACATTTCATGATGGCAGTAGTATGGTGCTTAATGATAAGTGTGTAGCTGAAAACTACTTCAGTCCAGCTCAGAGCTTACAAGAAGGATAAGGTTTCCAAGAGGAAACTATTAGTCAAGGCAGTTTTCCCCTTGGGAAGGGATAGAAAGTGGACCATATTCCCTGGGAACCAGAGGATAGTAGGTACAGAATTTCCCCATAGGGAGTAATTCCATGGAAATGACAATCTAATAGCTTTATCACATCATAGGTCACTCAGTAGAATTAGATGATCTCTGAGAGCTGAAATTCTATTCATCCATGAATCAATGGATGGTTCTATGTCTTATCCCTTCTTCCCTTCTTCTTTGACTATATAGTGACAGATACCTTTAGATATTTTGCTTCCTAACACAGAGATTTTGCTCAGTCCATGTCCGAATTCTTTTTTTGATCCTACCCAGTCCTATCTCTTTTCCCCAGAGATCTCTCAGACATCTCCCTTCTTCTTTCGGTTCTTAGTGGATGAATAGAGATGAAGACAATATTTTGTTCTCAGTTTGCAAAAGAACCCCAGAGAACTGAGTGCTTTGACCTTTTAAATCACAGTCATAACACAGGCAGCATGGTCTAGTGGATAAAGAGCTTGTCTGAGAGGCAGAAAACCTGGGTTCAAATCTGACCTCAGACACATATTGGTTGTGTGATCCTGGGAAAATAACTTTATTCCATAATGCTCCAGGTTATCTAAGGATATAAATTGTATAAGAATTGTAGAGGAAGGTCCCTAAGCCAATGAAACCCCAGGTTCATCACATAAGACAGGCTGGCTTGGAGTCAGGAAGACAGGTTCAAGTCTAGCCTTGGACATAGACTAGCTCTGTGATCTTGGGAGAACTATTGAATTTCTCAGCATTCTAGGGCCTTCTCTAGGAACGTAAGTTAGAGAGCTGTTGGTCTGTGGTGGTTCTATCCCAAGAATTCCGTATGTAGATGAAATCACAGGTTCAGGCTTCCAAAAATCCAAAAAGCATATCCCCAATCTTGCAAGACACTACATCACTCGTTTTCGAACATTTTTGTTGGCTGTCCCTCATACCTGCAATGCTCTTCTTCTTCATCTCTGATTCCCAATTTGCCTTCAAATCCCAAATAAAATGACATCTTCCATAAAGAAGCCTTTCCTGATACCTCAATTCTGGTGCCTTCCCTCTCTTAATCACTTCCTATTTATCCTGCACGTAGCTTATTTGTACATATTTTTTGCATGTTTTCTCCTATTAGATTGTAAGCTCCTCGAGGGCTTTTCTTTGTGTCCCTAGCATTTAAGCTTGGCATATAGTAGGCACTTAATAAATGCTTACTGCCTGACTGATGGCCCTTCAGGAAGGCCAAGAGACTTCTCCCACACCCTTATCTCTCTGGGCACTTTTCCTTTTTCTTCAACCTTGTGCCTTGTTCTCTTTTCTTTCCTCTGTGCCCCTTCCTCTCCTCCCTTCAATTTGTTTGCCTCTCCTTTTCTGGGATTGTATGCACAAAACTGGCAGCCCCCAAAAGTTTGGCTAAACCCCGTAGCAAATGACTGTATTCAAAGATCAGATGCCAAAAAAACCATTCAGCAGCCTCAGTCTGTAGCCTGTGTGCTGGCTGCTACCCAGGGAGAGAGGAAAAAGCTCACCCACCGAGGTGGATTGAGATGAGGGAGCACAGAAGAATGGTCTGAGCTCTTTGAAAAGAAAACAAGAAAACACCTTATTGTC